AGCCAGCAAGAGTCTGGCCAGGTTTGGAGTGCGGCCATGCCCCTTCTGCCTGGGAGATGCTCAGGATCCTGTGTGTTTGCCCTGTGACCATGTGTACTGCCTGCCTTGCATCAAGATCTGGCTCATCTCTAGGCAGATGACCTGCCCCTACTGTTTAACTGGCCTGCCAGAGGAGTTCTCTGTGACAGTTTCCCAAGAGCACAGGGTGGCCATTGGGAAACACACCCAATTCCAGCAGATGTGCAATAGTTTCTTCATGGAACTGGTTTCTACTATGTTCTTAAAAAACAATACTTCTCCTCAGAAGAGTGTGATTGATGGGCTTCTGTCTCTACTTGTTGTGCAGAAGCTCATGAGAGATGCTCCCCACCGACACCGGAAACACATCAAGTCTCTTTCGCCATTTGATGATGCCAGGGATAACACTCCTGTCATCTGCTCTGTGGTGCTGAAGCTGCTCCTGAAGTATAGGCTGTGATAAACATCATCAAGCCTCCACTGAGTGACCCGAAAGGATTCCTGCAGCAGCACATCCAGAGAGACTTGGAGCAGTTAACAAAGATGCTGGGGAAGAGTGCTGATGAGACCACCCATGTGGTCCACCTCATGCTGTACTGCCTTTTCAAAAAGCAGCACCCACACCCTGACCAGACTAAGCAAGGGGCAAGGACTGGGCATGACTGCCAAGAGGCCAGGCTCCCCCAGCCCTTGGTGAATGGCATGATAGGAATAGGAGGAGTGCTCTTCTCTCCTTGTTGAGCTGGAGGGGATGCTGTGCTCCTCCACACACTACCCACCTAGCTGTGGCCTGCAGCCCTGACACCAGTGATACTTCACACACAGCATTAACCTGTTCCCTGGGAGCACTTGGCTCCCCAGCAGGTGATGTGGGTCCCACTTCTGCTTTCCCAGAGATGTCATACTTGTACCCGATGTAATATGTTCACATCCACAATTAAATCCAATTAAATCTCCCCCCCCAAAAAAAGTTTAAGAATATAAACTTTCTGCTGGGTGTAGTGGCACATGCCTATAATCCCAGTGGCTCAGGAGGGTACAGCAGGAGGACTGCAAGTCCAAAGCCAGCCTCAGCAACTTAGGGAGACCTTGTCTCTAAATAAAATATAAAAAGGGCTAGGGATGTGGCTCAGTGGTAGAGTGCCCCTGGGTTCAATCTTCAGTATCAAAAAAAAAAAAAAAAAAAAAAGCTTTCTGAGGCAGGACTTTGTCCGTTTTGTTTTCTAATCAATTCCTACATTATCTGGGGCATGATAAGCACTCACAAATATTTGATGAATTTATGACCTAAGCAAAACACTACCTACCTTGCCCCCAACTTCCACTCCCTTAAAGTGACTATTTCCAAATGTTTTTCCTGAATCTATCTGCATATTTCTAAATAACATACTATGCTACTGTCTTTTCATTTGTAGTTTGGTCCCTATACACAATTCTCCATCTTCTAATTTTTGTTAAAGCACTATTAACATTTACATTATGACTTTGCAAATATTTCTTGTAGTTGAACAATGTTATACTATGATCACATTTGTTTTGGGGTAACCAATCCAGGTTGGAGAAAGAAAAAGTAAACAAAATTGGAAGTACTTGATGTGTTTGAATACACAAAAGCAGATGATACTTCTGGTATATTGGAACTGAACTAATGGTATTTACACAAGTAAAATAAAAATAAACACCCAGAAAACAAGCAAGACTAGGGTTGTAACTCAGTGGTAGAGTGCTTGCCTTGCATATATGTGTGAAGCCTTGGACTTGATCCTCAACACTGGGGAAAAAAAGGCAATAATTACTTAGAGAATAAAAAAAAGTACAATAATCACAATGGTTTACAGAGAAAGTATCTACTATGTGTCCGGCATGCAAAGCACTTAGAGACCTTAATTCTTGGATACAATATGAGGAAGAGAAAGAGGTTTTGGATTAGGTGGAGGTTGATTTAGAGTCCAGCCCATTCTGGGTACATGGTGGCTTCTGGACCTCAAGCAAGTCATTCCAGTCAACACTTTGTGACTGTTTCCTTGAGGGCTAGCAATTCCTACCTTGAAGAGTTGTGAGGATTAAACAAACGATTTCATGTTTTTAGGAATGGGTGAAGTGATATATTCATATAATCTCAGTCACTGAGGTGAGAGGATGGCATGTTCAAAGCCAGCCTCAGACTGAGCAACTAAAAGAGACCCTGTCTCAGGAAAAAAAAAAAGGGCAGGGGTTGGGTGGTATTTCTCCACCAATTCAGGAGGCTGAGACAGAAGGATTGCAAGTTCAAGGCCAGTCTCAGCAAATTAGGGAGGCCCTAAGTAACTCAGCAAGACCCTATCTCAAAATTTTAAAAAAGCCTGGGGATATAGCTCAGTGGTAAAGTGCTTTGGGGTTCAATCTTCAGTACCTGCCCCCTCAAAAAAAAAAAAAAAGGAAATGGGGGGAATTTGAGAACATTAAGAGATATAAGCGAAACTCAGAAAGGACCCTATGTTTTCTCTCATATGTGAAAGCTAGAGAGGAAAAGATAGAAGAAAGGTATGTGTATGAGGGTGGGGGGAGAATCTCAAAAATTAAAAGAGAGATCAAGAGAGGAAATGGACCAGAGGGAAGGAGGAGGGAAGGGAAAGGAGATATACTGGAGAATGATATTGGTCAAATTATATTATATGCACGCAAAAATACATAACAAATCCCACTATGTACAATTCACTAATACAAACAAGGGAAAAAAACAAAAGAATGTGGTATTGTAGCTGGGTGTGGTGGTGCACACCCATAATCCACTTACTCTGAAGGCTGAGGCAGGAAAACTGGCAAGGTCAAGTTCACTCCAGGCAACTTGGTGAGAACCTATTGAGTGCTTGCCTAGTATGTACCCAGCTCATATTCATTTTTTTCTTTTAAAATTTGTTTTTGTAGTTATAGACAGCATGCCTTTAATTTGTTTATTTTTATGTGGTGCTGAGGATCGAACCCAGTACCCCACACGTGCAAGGCAAGCGCTCTGCCACTGGGCTATAGCCCCAGCCCTCATATTCATTTTTTTCTAAGAATCATCAATATCCAAAAATCTCGCCAAGGGCAGTGGTGCATGCCTGTAATTCCAGTGACTCAGGAAGCTGAGGCAGGAGGATCACAAGTTCAAGGCCAACCTCAGCAACTGAGCAAGTCCCTCTCAAAAAATAAAAGTATGATAGATTCTAATTGCCCCTGGCAACTGTGATCAATCCCCAGAACCAAAACTCAAAACCCAAACCAAACATCCAAGAATCTGTTTGGTAGTATAACCTTCCTAACATAGACTCTGTCCATAACAAGCCAGTGTCCATTGTTAACTTTCTGCCATGATAGAAATGTTCTGTTCATAATACCATAGGCGCAAGCCACATGTGATTTATCAAGTACTTGATAATCAGTGGTTTGTATAACTGAAAAAACATTAAATTTTAAAAATTGATTTAAATGTAAATAGGAACACCTATATGGTGACCACTATATTGAGGAAATCAGTTCTGATTTGGTTGCTCAAATGCTTATGAAAATTTTCTTTAATATACACAAATTATCTTAAGATACTGTACCATGTTTAAATAAATACATCAACTATTGAAAACAATACAGGTAACTCTGTAAGCATTTCGAGATGTACTATACTCAAAAGTCTTCAACATAGGCATTGCTCAGCTAAACCCAGTCCAAAATGCTCCCTTATAGTCATGTAGAATGTCTTCTTTTAACCCAGTAAAAAATTTGGTGATTTGTCATATATCAAATGTTGATACCTCTGATCTTCCAGACTTCACAATATTTTAATATATTAGTTAGTAGGGGAGAAAGAACTAAACTTCATAATCATATGTAGAAGCTTTCATGAACACCAACCAGATGAACCACAGTGACTCTAAGGAGACCATGGAAGTCACACAAATAAATTCTCTGGATATCACAGACCTTGTTAGACATTTTTTCTTCAGGTTTATTTCTTAAATGTGGGCACTATGTAGTTTTTTTATCTACATCTAAAGAAGCTAAAATTAAGAGTAAAGGTGTTATATAGTCCAATTTTCCCTACCTTAAATAATGGAAATAAGTTCTTATTACTTTGTTACAGAATTACGACTACTCAGGCAAGGGTTATGGCTCAGTGGTAGAGCACTCACTTAGCACGTGTAAGGCCCTGGGTTCGATTCTCAGCACCACATAAAAATAAATAAATAAAATCAAGGTTAAAAAAAAAAAAAGACATTACTCATGGAGAGTGGGAAAAATGTGTATTATTGATCTGTTAGGCTCATATAATATACAGAAAATGTTGGGGGTAAAAGAATAAACATATTTAAGGCAAAATATTCTAAAACAAAGTTCTAAATTGACTGCTATTACTGAATTAATCTCAAGTTAACATGAGATGTGGCTTACTTATGACAAAATAAATAACACTAGTCAAAAAGTAAGAAAAAAAGGCTGGAGATGTGGCTCAAGCGGTAGCGCGCTCGCCTGGCATGCGTGTGGTCGGGTTCGATCCTCAGCATCACATGCAAACAAAGATGTTGTGTCCGCCGAAAACTAAAAAATAAATATTAAAAAAAAAAATTCTCTCTAAAAAACATAGTCTCTCTCCATCCATTATATAACTTCATTTAATTAAAAAAAAAAAAAAAAAAAAAAAAAAAAAAAAAAAACTTGGGATTAGAGAATTCAAAGATTTATCCCATTTCTCAGTTCTGCAGCATCATAAAAAACAAAAACCAAACCAAACAAAAAACCCTCCAGTGATTCCTGAAACAAACACCCAAACAACTCTTTTCTTCTTTTTGATAGATTCTAATTGCCCCGGGCAAGCACACGGGAAACCTTGGGAGATCTTGACATCCTTTAAGCTATAACCTTGACACCAAGTTCACAGGCCTGGGCTTATTTTGCCCTTCCCAACAGTACCTGGCACATGGCAGGTAGTCCCTTAAAAGAATAGGGTGTGTATTGAAAACAAGTGATCTGTTTTATAAAACTTTAAATTTATTCAAAGTGTTACAAGATTTCCACTCTCCCCTCCAAAATATTTTATAATTAAAAAAAAAATCAAAAACTATTTTCACAGCCACTGTACAAGTTGCTGCTTCCTTTTCTGAGGACCAGCCTTTGCCCTTCCAACTCCTTCCCCTCTCTTCTTCCCAATATTGCTGTTCATAAAACCTTTCATCTACCCCATGCTTTGCCCAGCCCTGCCCAGCCCAGCCCAGCTTTCGTGTCCTTGGTTGCAGGTGCGGCCCAACAAATGGGGGAATCCACAGGCAATGCCTGAGAGACAAGAGTATGCTTTGTGCTTCTGGGAGAATAGCTTTTGGCTTTTTCTTCATCAAGTGGCTCATTCGGACACCTGTTTAGAGCCAAATATTTGGCTTGGGGTTGCGCACAGGTCCTGTAGCCTTGTCTTTCCTCCAAATTCCCCCAGACATGGCTCCATGACAACTGGGTATGATGAATGTACCATCTGTTTGCCTGGGGACTGTTAGAAACACAAGACCAGAATGGGGCTTGATAAAGCCCAACTTCTCAAAGTGCAGGTACCACACCTCCAGAGGAAGAAGTTTTGTTTTTTTTTGTAGGCAAAGTCAGGGCCAGCCAGGACCACAGGAGGGTAGGGAAGTAGAAGGAAAGGTCTGACTACATAGTCTGGGATGAGCAATGTTCCTTCTGACAGACCCTCCCATCTCCCTCCCCTTTCATCCTGCAGGTCCCAGGATGATGCCAGAAAAGAGGAGGAAAGAGAGAAAAGGATTCTGCTCTGCTGATGGAAAAATGGCAGGAGACGACAGTGCTCAGGGCTGGGGAGAGGCCTGCTGGAATCTGTAGTTGTCTCTGCTTCCCTGTTCTATAAGGGAGGGCAGGAGAAGGAGCCAGGCCCTCAGAGGCTTCATCAGCTCTGCTCCTTGTCCTTGACTAATAGGACTGTATGCTGGCCTCCGCCGGACACAGACAACACCACGCGGTTCTCCAGCTGTTTGCCAGTCATCTCCACAGGGCTCCAGGCGTCCTCATCCTGCCCTGTACCCAGCTGATAGTTGGTGCCCATACCCCAGGCAAAAACACGACCTGTAGGGGGAAAGAAATGGAGGCAGCTGTCTCCAGGATTTCTGGCTACACCTTTCCACACTGCAAAACCTGGGACATGAGGGTGAATTCTGGCCTTGACCAACAGCAGCCAGATAAGGTCCAGTCTCTGGGAGTTCAGGGAAGTTGGGAGAAGTCAAGGAGATAATGTAAAGACTTCTCCCTGCTCCCAGGTCCTAAATGACTGGCTTCTTCCTAAATCCCTGCATCCACCCTCCATTCTCAGGACTAATTGTCATTGAGACTGTTATGGAAATTACCCAGCTGGGAATGCCTTCCTGTACTTTCCTTGAAGAATAAAACCTTTGGGGTACAGTGCAAGCCCTCACTTCCTCAGAGGTCTTCCCAGTCTGATCAAGCATTTCTGCAAAGACTTCGTTTTTCTTTTTTGGGGTATTGGGGATTGAACCCAGGGGCCCTTTACCACAGAGCCACATCCCCAGCCCTTTTTATTTTTTGAGACAAGACCCTGGCTAAATTGCTTAGGGCTACACTAATTTGCTAAGGCTGGCCTCTAACTTGTGATCCTCCTGCCTCAGCCTTTTGGGATTACAGGCGTGCACCACCACACCCGGCTTGCCAGCCAGCCTTCTAGCAGCTCTCCATTACTGTGCCCCCTCACCCCTTTAGGCTTTGGCAGTCACTTGTTGACATCCTCCTCTCCTATGCTGGCCAGGACCCTGACTACTCAGCCTGTTTTCCCCTAAGATTCTTAAGTATAACTCCCTGGGAAGCTGGGACTCTGGGTCTCAATGATATCTCCTCTTTGTTTTTCTCCTCTGCAGAACTAATCACATCTAGCCAGCAGGTAATGTGGCATGCACATGTGCCTGAAGTTCTTGCACTCAGGAGGCTGAGGTGGGGGATCATTTGGGCCCAGGACTTTCAGACTACCATGGGCAACACAGTGAGACCCAGTCTCAAATAATGTGTTTACTCATTTATATTTATCAAATCAGAGAGTTTCTGAGGGTCAGGAGCAAAGACCAATTTCTACATCTCAATTCCAGCATGATGGTAGACAGCCTGCTAGAGAGTATAAGAATCACAACCCACAGGCCCCAACCAGACGAGGTGTGGGGAGCCCCACTCACCATCCTTGGTCACGGCATACCCCACAGAGGCCCCACAGGCCACTGAGATGACGGTGGGCAGCCTGGAGATGAGGGTGGGTATGCTCTTCTCCTCAGCACCCTCCCCAAGGCCAAGCCGCCCATATTCAGCCCGGCCCAGGCTGTATGCTTTTCCTGTGAGAAGAGGGAGAGAGATAAGCAGTAGCAGAGGACATCCTCTGGGCAAAACGGGCAGCAGGCCAGGTGAGTCCTCATATCCTCAGGAGCCTGTCCCCACTCTCAGCATGGTCAGAAGGAAGTATGTAGTGTCCCCATTTTGGGTGAGTCCTAGGAGAATCTCCAAATAGGCCTCCAATGAACTTGTATTTGGAAGCACCAGGACTCTGGAGGACAAGGGTGACCTTTATGGACCCATGTCTGGCCCAAACTGTAGAACAGGCCCTGGTCTGGCTAGGCCTAGTTTGTCTCTAACATAGAGGACTTGGAGGTCCTACCTTCTGAATCCAGACAGACTGTATGGTGCTGGCCACCAGAGAAGCACACCCAGGATTTGGTGGAATTCTTGAAGCATGTCAAGTTCTGGGGTATGAAGCAAGATTCTGTGCCTGGTGTTCCTGCCATCAGGGGTAAAGGTGTTTCAGGAGATGTTTTATCAATCCCATCCCATAGCAAGGCCACCCTCACCAGGATATGAATATTCTCACTTTACAGACATAACTGTGGCTCTGGGGAATTAAGGAACTCTACAAAGGGTGCACAGTGAATAAGTGACAGAGCCAGGACTGGAACCAGGTCATTGGGCCACCCCTATGCTATGCTGCATTCAGACTCACCAAGTTGATGGTAGTTGGAAAGACCAAAGCCATATATGTGGCCGTCTTGGGAGATGGCAAAAGTGAAATAGGCACCACAGAAGGCATCCTGGAACCTCACATGGCCCCGGGCTCCCCTAGATTTCAGCATCACACACTTGGGGACCAAGAGTCGTTCTGTAGGTAAAGCAGCCAGGGTCAGTGACAGAAGCACATGGCCTTTTTCTTCTCTGATCCTGGGCCTGTTTCTCTTATGTTTTGAAAACCGTTGGGAGGAGGCTAAGCAGGAACTCTAAACCTTATTTTACAGAAGAGGATACTAAAGCCAGTGTAAGTGCTATGCTCAGATTCCCACAGTATTAGAGGTAATGTTTATGTGGAACTTACGATGTGCCAGATATTTTTCTAATTAACTTATCTATCTTCACACAACACAATGAAGTAAGGTTAAAGACAGGTTTAGAAATAAGGAAACTATACGGCGCAGGTCCCATAGCTAGTAGATGACAGAACAGGATTCAAACTCATGGTAGCTGGGCATGGCGGCACTCACCTGTAATCTCAGCAACTCAGGAGGCTGAGGTAAGAGGCCTGCAAGTTCAAGACCAACCTCAGCAACTTACCAAGACCCTAAGCAACTTAGTGAGACCCTGTCTCAAAAATTTTATAAAAAGGGCTCGAGATGTAGCTTAGTGGTAAAGTACAAACAACCCTGGGTTCAATCCCTAGCACCAAAACCAAAAAAATCCCCCCATACCCAGGGTAGCGATCAGTCTCCAAAATTTGAACCCCACCCACCCTTTTTGGTCAATATTGGGGAATGAACCCAGGGCCTTGCACATGATAAGCAGATATGCAGGTGCTCTACCTACCACCAAACTATATACCCAACCCCATTTTTTTTTAAATATTTTTTTTAGTTGTAGATGGACACAATATCTTATTTGTTTATTTTTATGTGGTGCTGGGGATTGAACCCAGGGCCTCACGCGTGCGAGGCAAACACTCTTCCACTGAGCTACAACCCCAGCCCCTGGCCCCATTTTTTTTTTTTGTAAATATTTTTTTTAGTTGTAAATGGATCTTTCATTTTATTTATTTATTTATATGCGGTGCTGAAGATTGAACCCAGGGCCTCACACATGCCAGGCAAGTGTTCTACCATTGAGCCACAACTCCAGCCCTCAGCCCCATTTAAAAAAAAAAAATATTTTCTCTATTTTTAAATGGTGCTGAAGATGGAACCCAGGGCCTTGCACATGCTAGGCAAGTGCTCTACCACTGAGCCACAACGCCAGCACCCCCTCAGCCCTATTTTTTAAAAAAAACTTTGAAATAGGGTCTTGCCAAATTGCCAAGACTGGCTTTGAACTTGTGATCTTCCTGCCTCAGCCTCCAAAGTAGTTAGAAATATAGGTGTGTGCCACCACACCTCACTCAAGTTTGAGTTTTTATTATTTATTTATTTTCGGGGGGGGGGGGGTGTGCACTGGAGATTGAACCCAGGGTCTATGTGTATGCAAGGCAAGTACTCTACCAACTGAGCTATATCCCCAACCCAGTTTTTAAAGTGTGAGATCTTAACACTTCAAGTCTATTTGATGCAAGTCTGAAGCTCAAGATTCCCTCCTGCTTTTAGTCACCACAGGGGTTGGTTTGCCAAGTTACCCCACTAGATGTACTGAAACTACTTACCGAGGCCCTGCCGACCACCACGGTTGGAAAATAACTCAGGTACTCGGCCTAGCTGGCCCTGCTCCCCGCAGCCCAAGGTGTAGAGGTCACCATCAGTTGTCAGCATCACCAAGTGGTCATTTCCTGAAGATGAGAGGAAGGCGGAGGATGCATGGCTTATCTGTTAGGACCAAGGCTGATCCAGCCCCAGAAGTAGGTCCTCTAGCTCCTGCCTACAGTGAGTACTCCTAGACCCACCTGAGGCTACCTTTACCACTGGTATGTCCAGCTGCACTTGCAAAGGCACCATGCTCTTCTTCATGGGCTCCAACAACCCAATCACGCCATTATTGTCCTAGAAGGGAAGAAGAGAGCACTTATCAGCTAGTCCTGCCTGCCCTGTAGCAGCCACATTCAGGCTTTTAGGAGGCCACAGAGCTATCTGGTGAAGTGTAGTAAGTAGTAGCAGAAGGGATAAAGAGGCAGACAGGAGCCAGGTCACATCCTGAAATATTTATGAATGAAATCATACATGATCTGGGATTTGCATTATAATAACGAAGGAATAGGTGAGTAGAAATAAATATGTCTGGCTAAAAAGTTGATAACTGTTGAAACTTGGTGTCAAGTAGCTAGGTGTTCAATATATAATTCTAATTACTCTTAAGAAATCCTCTATAAAAATTTTAAAATAACCTCGATGAGGAAACACTCATCGGATTCCTTATTTTTTCATGAGATTTCAAAATAAATACCAAGGTACCAATCTTAATGCTGAAACTGTTTTTTAAACTACACTTCCTTGCCTTGGAAACACTGTGATATGACAATTCCTGCCTCATTCCCCCAAAGCCTCTGGAAAGTAGGGAAGAGGGCTGGGAAGGGAAGAGAGAGGTTCAGGTAGGGGATGACAAGAGCAGTTTCCTATACCAGCTTCAACCCAAAGGCATCTTTGACCCACCCCTTTCTCAGGACTTGCACTTCATAACATCAGATTCAAGGAAAGAGCTAGAACTGTGGACAGGCCCAGAAGAAGCCAGAGATTTGGATCTGGGCCCCAGCCCTGCCTTTTTCAACCCAAGTACAATGGTGGAAAGGAGGTTGGATAACTTTTTTGGTACCAGGGACTGAACCCAGGGGTGCTTAGTCACTGAGCAATATAGCCAGCCCTTTTATTTTTTGAGACAGGGTCTTGCTAAGTTGTTTAGGGACTCACTAAATTGCTGAGGCTGGCTCTGAACTTTTAATCTTCCTATCTCAGCCTTCTGAGCCTCTGGGATTATAGGCATGCACCACCACACCTAGCCAGTCTTTTTTGTTTGTTTGTTTGTTGCTGGGGATCAAACCCAGGACTTCATGCTTGCTAGATAAGCTCTCTTCCACTGAGTTATACCCTCACTTCCATGCAGTCTTCTAGACCCAGTCTTACCCGGAATGAACCCCACAGGAAAACACGGCCATCTTCGGTGAGAGCTGCTGTGTGGCTATCTCCTGCTGACACTTGTATCACCTTCTCTTGCAGGTCCACTTTCCCCGGGACCATGTCTGAGCCCTCCACAGATGTGTCCCTTCCCAGGGCACCTTCATCATTGCAGCCGAAGGAGTAGACCTATGCCCAGGAAGCCCCGATTAGTGCAAGATCTGGTCTCAATCCACTCTCATTTAGGCCATTCCTTGCTTGGCTAGCCAGCTCCATCTCCACAGTGAAATGTATATGGCTTAAAGCTCCTGTCCCAACCCTAGCCCATCCCCCGCCCAACCCCAGGCACTGCCCAACCCCCCAGCCTACCTGGCCACTTTTGCTTAGACACACGGTGTGCATGCCCCCAGCCTCAACCTGCACAACATCCTCTGGAATGGGCACCAGGGCAGGCTTCTTCCTCTCCATAACATTCTCACCTAGGCCCAGCTGGCCCACGTCGCCCTGGCCCAGTGTCAGCACCAAGCCTGGTTCTGTGTTGTGGGACCTGTGTGAGACTGAGGGGTGGAGAAGATAGCCCCTGAGTGGGCAGGATGATAGGAGAGAGGGAGGTCATTTCATGGACTCTGGCATCAGGAATCAATCTTGAACCTGGGTTTAAGCCCCTGCTCTGTAATAAGTCATTAGTATGACATTCTTGAGACTAAGTTTCCTCATCATCTCAGAGAGTTTCTGTGAAGATTAAAAGCTGAGCACATTATTAATGTGACAGTAAGGAAATAGAAACAAGGAGACCCCATTCTGTGAAATGAATCTTGGTGAGGAGGGGAAGAGGACCATGACGACACAAGATAGTTTTCCTGATTAGCCTAGGTTGTCTGTCAGAAGTCACAGTGCTAATAGCTGGGGCTCAGATAATGTCCACCCTTTATTGACTGCTTACTCTACCTTTGACTTGCTCTGCAGATTTTCCATATTTAGGATCCTGTGTTATAGAAAAGGGAAGAGAGCAACCTAGAGGTTCAACAATCTTCCCAGGGTCATAAGGCAATTTAGCAGTCTGCACTAAAACCAAGGGAGACTACACGGATTGGAGCAGACACCAGCCTCTACCCTAACCCTCCTCCATCCCCAGGCTGTGATTTTCAACTTCTGGATATATTTTCAGAGGAAAACTGACCACTCTAACCCTATGGGGCAGCACACTGGCAGTTGAAGAGGAAGAGGCAGGCCACAGAACCATCTGCAGTGAGGTTTGTGCCCACCAGTGGGCGGCACAAGGCCCTCTGCTAGCCAATGGAGGGCTCGGCAGCCCCAGACAGCCAATAGCGTCCAGCCTCTCCTCCAGGCGCGTGGCCATGGCCCCCAGGGCCACAGGGGCTGCGCAGAGAGTGCACTGAGCAGGGAGCCACCTGGGTGGGTTTTCTGGTCAGGAGGGCTCAGCCTGTAGGCACCTTTGCAGGAGCGGGCGCTGGGACCACGGCGGGAGGCAGTGGCCCTCACTGCTTGGTTACGAGAGTCTGCAAAAGACAGACACTGTCTGAGTGTGGGTTCACATACCCTCTTCCCAGACAGGGGGTGGCTTTCTCCTGTTCCTGCCCCACTTTAGGATCTCAGAAAAAAGAAAACCAGGGATTCCTCCCTCAAATGCTGCCAGGACATTGTCTCATTTAATCATTTAATCCTCACAACAACAGCCCAGAGAGATCAGTGCTGTTCTCAACTCCATTTTATGAAGTGGGTAACCCAAGCTCAGTCAAGTTTTAACTTGCCTATGGTTACATATCTAGAAAGTGGCAGGACTTGAACCTACTATGGAAATCAGTGGTCCTAATCAAAATACATCATTGCCTGGAGCAAAATTCTAAGACTGACTGATTGATTGTGTGTGTATGTGTGTACTGAGGATTAACCCAAGGGCACTTTACCACTGAGCTATATCCCCAGTCCTTTTTATTTTTTGAGACAGGATCTTGCTAACTTGCTGAGGGTATAATAAATTGCTTTAGGTTGGCCTTAAACTTGCAATCCTCCTGCCTCAACATCCCAAATCACTGGAATCACAGGCGTGCACCACCACATTGGGCTGTCAGCCCAGTTTTTAATTCCTTGAGGATGAGATTCAATGAGCTATAGGAGACCCTCCAGCTGGGTGTGGGGTCCCTGAACATCCAAGCCTCTCATCTTTCAGGGAGGAAGGAACCCAGTCCCAGGTTCCCTGGGTTCTAAGAGGCCACCCACAAGCAGAAAGAAGAGGCCACAGCCAACTTACCCTTTACTTTCTTGCTTTTGGGGATGGCATCTTCTGGGGCTGACCTTCTCTTAGCTATGCGCTTGGGTGGCATCTTCCTATCCTGAAAAACCCAGCCAAATACTACCTGTTAGACATGGCAAACATTTTCCTGTGCTAATTATGCATTATTTATCAAAACCCCTAAGCAGCTGGGGATGTAGCTTAGTAGTAGAGCACTTCCCTAGCAGGCACAAGGCCCTGCATTCCATCCCCAGTGCCGAAGAACAAGAAGAAAAAAAAAAAAAGGTGGGGATATAGCTTAGTGGTAGAGTCCCCTTGGTTTCAACACCCAGTACCCCTTCCCCCACACAAAATGAAAGGGTCAACTCAAGGCAGACCATGATACAGGAAGGAGGCTAACACAGCCTGGCCAGGCCTTCTAGACTCAGGGTCTTGCTTGCTAGACTCAGGAACTGAAGAATCTCTTTGTGTGAATGTCCCCAAGAGCGAAAGGAGGAGGGCTTTCATGTAAACCAACATTTGCTGAGTTGCAATTATGCCAGGCACAGAGCTGGCACACTTCACACCAGGAATTCCTCCCCAGACCCCCAATGAGCTTGGCTAAATAGAAGGTACAGAGAGTAGAAGTCAATTGAGAAAGAGGAGGTTGAGAGCAGAGAGAAGACAATGAGGCAGCTGGAGCTTCTTTCTAGGTGGGCTGGTGACAGATCCAGACAATGGGTACAGCTCCCTGCTGTGGTAGAAAGCACACAGGCTTTAGTTTCACAGACCTGAGTTGCCTATGAGCCCCAGAGGCAGGGTTGCGGGGGAGTGGGCCCCTTCTAAAAGGTGAAGCCCTGTGCCTGTTACCCACCAGCATATCCTTAACTGTGCAAATCAGTTCTTTCTACAGATTACCTCCCTTACACTGTTCTGGGTATCTAACCCAGGCCCCTAAGCAAGTTAAGCATGAGTTTTTCTACTGAACTACACGGACAGCCCCTGAGTGTTTTCTTTTTCTGCTTCTTTTTTTCAATCTGGGGACTGAACCCAGGGGTACTATACTATTGAGCTATATCCCCCACTCCTTGTTTTATCTGATCTAAGTTGCTTAGGATCTTGCTATATTACTGATATTGGCCTCAAACTTTCAATCCTTCTGCCTCAGCCTCCTGAGTCACTGGGATTACAGTGTGTGCTACCGCACCCAGCTCTGTAAGTTTTCTTAACCTGAGTCTAGACTGGAAACAAGGATTTGTCTTTTGTCATAATGTTCACATTCCCACTTTCTATGCTCTACCTTCCATCTTCAAGTTTACAGTTAAGGAGAAGAGTGAAACACAGTCACAAATAGTTAAGTCAGATACAGAGTCAGTGTATACTAATGGGTACCTATAATGCTCCAACCTTTTCTAGAGTGCCTTGAGGTAAGAGTTATTACTCCACTATTATAGATAAAGGAGATGAGGCTCAGGGAAAGGTGCCCTAGACCACACAGAGGTAGGATGGAAATCTAGGTCTTCTGACCATTCCCCACCCAGGGCCAGAGCCTCCCCCACCTTAATTTCCTCACTTGTTGACTTAAGTGGGTAGGCACACCAGTATAGACAGTCTAGCAGGATCCTGGTGTTCCTGCTACAATTCCCACCACATCCTGGTTTCAGCAATGGAAAACCAAGCACTCTGGGACCATAGCAGCTGTCTCCTCCCTCCTCCACACCAGGAAGCAGAACTTGCCTGCCAGACTCAGGGGCTGAAGAATCTCTTTGTGTGAAAGGTCCCCAGGAGGAAAGGGAGGAGGGCTCCCATGTCAACAAACATTTGCTGAGTTGTTCTTATGCCAGGCACAGAGCTGGCATATTTCACACCAAGTTTTCCTCTCTGTGGTCCTCTTAGTATACAGAGCTGTGCTTGGGCCTCCCTGATCCTTTTTCCCTGGGGAAAGGGACCACAGCTTTCACCAGATGTTAGTGCCACTGTTTTATGGAAATTTTAGGACACTAGAAATCCTCATCACATACAACTTACACATTTTAGATATAAGAAACTAAGGTTCAGGGGGATTGGGTGGGTAGCCCAATGGCAACAGATTCCTGTTCTTGTGTTGTCTATAACTGAAACTTAATGATTAACTCTTAATTCATCTTTCCACTCTCATGCCCTTCTTTGGGGAAACATTCCCTGCCTCCTCTACCACAAGCAGTGTTCCTTGGTCCTGTATTCTAAGTAGTCCCACCAAGACTCTGCTGTACCAAAGCTGCTTCAGTCCTCAAATCACCTGTGGTCTTGATCACAACACTCACCCATACATTATGTCTTTGTATGTGCTGTGTACCCTGCCTGGATTCCCTGACCACACCACCTCACTTGGCCTCCACAGTTCAATTAAAACTCAGTCAAGAGTCACCTCACCCGGAAAGCTATCCCTGCCCCTCCTGAGCAGGGCTGGTGGGTCTCTCTTTGGGGTCCTGTAACACTCCATATGTTCCACTAAAGCTAGGGCACACAAGTCACACGTGGTTGAAGTTCAATTAATTTTTCTGATGAATGACTTGCCAGCAGCAGTGCTCTGGGCGCCAGGGGCATGCTTTTGTGATCACACAGGACCATAACTGTGGACAATCACAAAGTCTCTCCCAGGGATGTAAAGGCCACATGGGCCTTTTCACCACTGTTGTCCAGCACTTCAAGAGAGGCATAGAATGGATGGCCAGCAAATAATTTGTTCACAGACTTAACTGATGCGGAGTTCTGGGCACACCTCTCTAACGCGCCAACAGTTGAGGAGGTGCCTGTTGACGTTGAGGTTCCTGTCCTTGCAGCGGAGCCTCACCACCCCAACCTCGGGCTTCTAAAGCAGACCCTTCCGGGGCCGAGTTCCCCCTGTAGTGCAAACCGCATTCTCCAAACGAACGCCGGACAAAATCACTCTCCCTGTAGCGGAGACGCAGCCCCAGCCCGGCGGCCGCCCAGCCGCGAGGCACGCGGGTCGGCGCGTCGGGGGCCCGCGAGGTCGCCGCGGCCACGAGCAGTCTTCCGCACCCGGGCCGTTTGAATCTCCCGCCCGCTCTGGCGCCGCGGCGGAGGGGCTGCGCGGCCCCGGCTCGGGTGAGGCGGGGCCCAGTTAGCCGCCCGCGGGGCCGGAGCACGCGCGCCCACACCGCGTCTCGCTGCCACCCGCTTCGCGTGGGCCGGCATTGCGCGACTCCGGCGGGCGCGAGCAAGCAACGACCCAGGTCACCGCGCTCCGCGGGGCCGCCCCACGCGCTTCCCTCCCCCGGGACTCTCCGTACGTCTCCGGGCGACCTACCTTGGTGCGGGTCGGCTACAACGAACTCCAGTGATCACCGGCCGAGCCGCGAACTGCCCCGGAGCATGCGCTCTGCAGGCCTCCGGCCCCGACCCTGGCCAGAAAGGAAAACAAAGAGCCCGGCGGCCCCTGGCGGCCACCCCAGAAAGTACGAGTGGCTCGCTCCCTGAGTAGGGAGCTTTGACCAGGCTCCCTCACCTGGCCTAGCTATAGGGGTTGTGTATTTCGGAAGCCCCAAATTCGGACAAGTGGATTGACAACCGAGCGACCGGAGTGACTACTTGAATCCAGGTTTGTTTGGGAAAATCTGATGCGTAAGGGTCTGTACGGAGAAAAAAGTGATCTTTTGTCTCTGGGGAGGATGAGAAATCATTTTCAGTAGCCACACAGGGTTATGACAAGAGTTTGCACTGAGCCCTTTGACTCAGCAGTGGCCTTCCAAGTCTAGGAGTACAAGGCATTATGGGAGAAGCAACACTTGCAGTAACAGCCAGGAAAGCTCAGGGATGTTGTTCGAAACTGTCATATAGATGGGGGCAGTGGATGCCCTGTGGGAGTGACTGATGATGGATGGTGGGTCTTGTGTGTCTTTGTAGTAGTACAGCCTCTGTTCTGGGGCAATGGGGAACTAGGGGAGGGATCTGGGCTCCCATTGACATGGAACAGTTTTGAGAACAATGTGGAAAAGAAGAGCCAAGGAAGAGGGGAGCAAGAAGAAGGAGGGAGACCAGAAAAAAAGATGGTGTGTGAAATGGGCTTGGGAGTTGAAGATGTGAAGCATCAAGCATAATATTCTTTCTTGGCAACACATCCTTTTTCTTTAGGTTGCAAACAAAGTTCTTCAGGATTTCAGGTGTGCCCTGAGGTGACCTCTCAGGCCACTTTGTGTCTTGGGATTTCTCAGGTCAGAGTATCAGAGTAAAATACTGAAGAAGAGTATTTTCTGTGTTATACATTAACTCCAAAAACTTTTTGGGGGCTACAACATGATCAACATGACTTCTCTCACAGAGCTACACCCTCATCCCCAGATGAACATTTTTTTTTTTCTTTTGGTACCAAGGATTGAACTCAAGGGCACTCGACCACTGAGCCACATCCCAATCCCAGCCCTATTTTGTATTTTGTTTAGAGACAGGGTCTCTCTGAGTTGCTTAGGGCCTCGCCATTGCTGAGGCTGGCTTTGAACTTGCAAGTCGCCTGTCTCAGCCTCCCAAGCTGGTGGGATTACAGGAGTGCGCCACTGCTCCTGGCCCCAGAGGGACATTTTTGATGAGTATTTTCCAACTGAATTTTTCCTACTATGCAGTGCCCACCCCAAAACACTTCCCTGCCTTCAGAGTCTCTTACCTGTTCAAGTTTACCTCTGCCTCCATCGTGAACTCCTTTTTTGGATGATATACTGTGAAATTTCTCCAAGTTTTTACCCTGGGATCTCTGATCTCTCTGTCTTCTGTCTTCAAGATCTTCTCATTCACTTAGCTTTAATTGTAAAAAGGGTTATTACCTATTTTGTAAAGCCATTTGTTAACTACAGAAACGTCCATGGGCATTGGCTCATTTGTTCCTCAAAAAACTTCATGAGTGGGGCTGGGGTTGTGGCTCGGTGGTAGAGCACTAGCCTAGCGTGTGCAAGGCCCTGGGTTCGATTCTCAGCACCACATAAAAAAATAAAGGTATTGACTACTACAACTAAAAAATAAATATTAAAAAAAAAAAAAAAAAAAAAAACTTCATGAGTTTGAAAATGAAATTCAAAGAGGTTAAGTAAGTTCCCTAGGGTCATCACAAAACTGGTGGAAGGAGACCTGGCTCTTAAGGATAGGCCATCACATTTTCTGTGGTCCTGGGGATCAAACTCAAGGCCTTATGTGAATCAGGCAACCTCTGTACCATTGAGCTACATCCCTAGCCATGGGCTATCACCTTTTAATTGACATGTCAGCCCATTTGGGCTGGTTCTGATGTCTACCCCAAATTACCACCCTGCATCTCTATCCAGAAGACCCAACATTTTTCTTAGTAAGTTTCTTGGGCTGCTTTAAACTTGCCATCTTCCTATCTCAGCCTCCCAAGTTACTGGATTATAGGCATGTGTTATGCCCAGCAACTCAATATCTTTTTTTTTTTTTTTTTTACCAGGGCTTGAACCCAAGGGCACATTGTGACTGAGCCACATCTCCAGTTCCTCTTTTAAATTTTATTTAGAGACAGGTTCTCTCCAAGTTGCTGAGGCTGGCTTTGAATTTGTGATCCTCCTGCCTCAGCCTCTCAAGCCACTGAGACTACAGGCATGTTCCACTGTGCCCCACACAATTCAGTACTTTCCCATGGATTTAGACTCCCTCCCCCAACTTCCAATCAATATTAGGGTTCTCTGAAAAGTATAGGTTTAAACCTTGTTTTTTCTTTTCTTTCTTTCTTTTTTTTTTTTTTTTTAATTCTTCCCACTCTGTATTTCCATTTCTGCTCCTCTTGTCTAAAACTGTCCTTCTGGCCTCTCCTCTAATTCATTGGTGCTGAGGATTGAAGTTTGAACCCAGGGCCTTGGGCATGCAAGGCAAGCACTCTACCAACTGAGCTATATCCCCAGCCCCTCAACAAGTACTTCTTTAGAGCTATGCTTGGAACACAAGGCTACAAATGCCCTGAGCTGTAAATTTCGTATTTCTTTATCACCTGCTACACTACTCTGAAAGTGCCCATTATTCATTTCCACTCTCTCACCTTTATCTGGGCTATTCCCTCTACTAGGGTGCCTTTCTTCCTGCATGCATATATATATATAATTATTATTATTTTTTGGTACTGGGGATTGAACTCAGGGGTACTCAACCACTGAGCCACATCTGCAGCCCTATTTTTGTATTTTTGTTTAGAGACACGGTTTCACTAAGTTGGTAAGCATCTCACCATTGCTGAGGCTGGCTTTGAACTCTGGATCCTCCTGCCTCAGCCTCCAGAGCTGCTGGGATTACAGGCGTGTACCACTGTGCTTGGCTCTGACTACCTGAATTCTTGATACAAGTATGTGTATATACACACCCGCATATATACATTTGGCCATATTGGAGATTAAACCCAGTAAGTATATACGTATGTACATATGTATATAAGCACACACATATGTATACTTACGTATATACATATAATTTTATTTATTGGTGGTACTGGGGATTGAACCCTGGGTGTTCTCCCTGGGGTGTTCTAGCACTGAGTTACATCCTAAGCCTTTTTTCTTCTTTTAAATTGAGATAGGTCTCAGTAGATTGCCCAGGGTGGACTCAAAATTCTTCATTCATATATATATGTATTTATTTTAATGTTTCATAGTTCATTTTACTATTTTTCTTTCCACATTTTTAAATTATTTTTTAATTGTAGTTGGACACAGTACCTTTATTTCACTTATTTATTTTTATATGGTGCTAAGGATCGAACCCAGTGCCTCAAGCATGCCAGGCAAGCGCGCTACCACTTGAGCCACATCCCCAGCCCTCTTTCCACATTTTTTATTGGTACATAATGAGATTTCTTGTTCTTTTTTTTGTGTGTGTGTACCAGGGATTGAACCCAGGGTCACTTAACCATTGAGCCACATCCCCAGCCCTTTAATTTTTTTTATTTTTTGAGTGAGAGAATTTTATATATACATTTATTTTATTTTTTTTTAGTTTTCGGCGGACACAACATCATGTATGTGGTGCTGAGGATTGTACCCGGGCCGCAAGCATGCCAGACGAGCACGCTACCGCTTGAGCCACATCCCCAGCCCCTAAAAAATTTTGAGACAGTCTCACTAAGTTGCTTAGGGCCTAGCTAAATTGTTGAGGCTGCCTTTGAATTTGTGATCCTCCTGCCTTAGTCTCCTACACCACTGGGATTACAGGTTTACTCCATTGTGTCTAGCAACAGAATTTTTCATCTTTTAAGGCCCAATTCAGTCCTACTTCCATTAAGACTTATTGGGCCCACATAACTATCTCTGAATCAAACATCAGTTTTAATTTCTTTCACACCCTATCACTATTTTATTGAATGTGAACCATAAAAAAAACTATCCAGGGACTGGGGATGTGGCTCAAGTGGTAGCGCGCTCGCCTGGCTTGCAGGGGGCGCTGGGTTCTATCCTCAGTACCACATAAAAATAATATAAAGATGTTGTGTCCAAAGAAAAATAAAAAATATTAAAAACTTCAAAAAAAAAAAAAAAAAAAAACCTATCCATTAATTGAACCTGACCCAGAAGTGCAGAGATGATAAGAGTGATGGAATTCAAAGTTATTATTATGGGTTGGGGATGTAGTTCTGTGGTGGAACACTTGCCCAGGTTATACAAGATCCTGGTTTCAAGCTGGGCATGGTGGTGCACACCTGTAATTCCAGAAGCTTGGGAAGTTGAGGCAGGAATTCAAAACCAGCCTTGTTGGGCTGGGGATGTGGCTCAAGCGGTAGCGCGCTCGCCTGGCATGCGTGCGGCCCAGGTTCGATCCTCAGCACCACAAAGATGTTGTGTCCGCCAAAAACTGCAAAACCCCAAAATACACCCCCCTCAATGTCACTAGGTACCAGGGATTGAACCCAGAGGTGTTTTACCACTGACCTACATCCCACCCCTTTGTATATTTTGAGACAGGGTCTTAAGTTGTTTAGTGCCTTACCCATTGCTGAGGCTGGCCTCAAACTTGTTATCCTGCTGTTTCTCAAGCCACTGGAATTACAGGTGTTATAAGCATATTAAAAACGTTGAAATGTTGGGCTGGCATGGTAGCGCATGTCTGTAATCCCAGCAACTCAGAAGGTGGAGGGAAGAGGATCTCAAATTCAAGGCCAGTCTCACCTTTACAACAGTGGGGCTTAAAGAACATGGATGTCTCATATACTTCCTCAGGTTGAACTAAGGAATGTCCTTTGCAATAGAAGGCTCATCTGGCTTCCTCAAAAAACAGGAAATTGATAGCCACCTACACAGAGAATCCTCAGGCAGTTATATTTGGTCAGCCTTTCTTAATAACTGATGAAAGCAGAAACATGTAACTAGATGGCACAAATGCTACTAGTCTGATTTTCAGGCACTGGGGATAAAATTTAGTACCTCATACATGCTAGGCAGTAACTGCAACCACTGAATTATGTGAAATTATCTTAATTAAATCTTACCTTCTAGATGGTTTCCCTCTGGTCCATCTGTTAGGGACTTAATCTTCCCACACTGCTGGCAACCAGTGCAGAGACTTGACCAGGCTTCCATTGTGACTTAACTTTCTAACATGATGAAGCAGGCCAACAATTTCAAGCTCTCAGGAAGGAGCATAGAGCAAGTACACTAGCTGTACACATGGGACTATTCATCTCTTAAGGGAAAAACCTGGGACTTGATCTTGTGACCTTATACTACTTTTGAGTTAACCCCAGTGAAATCTAACTTAGTTATTAACCAGCACCATTTAATTTGGCTGAAGCCCAACAATGCTACATGAAAAAGAACCACAGAAACATGCAGTCACATTTATTTCAATTCACAAGTTTTTTTTTATTTCAATTCACATTAACTTGCCTCAGATATGTTAGATATACTACAAACAGTATAAAACGGAAATCATAATGAATTTTGCTCAAGACATATCAACATGTTCTTCTG